GCTAGATTCTTATTTATCACCCTGTACCAGAATCAACTCCAAATGGATCAAAGACCTCAAAGTCAAAGCAGACACCCATAAAATATTACAGGAAGGAATAGGAGAAACTCTAGGGCTCCTTGGCACAGGCTGGAAGAAATTTTCTTAATAAAGACCAGAAACACAACAAGCAAATCAAAGAAAGGTTGAACAAATGGGATTTATGAAACTGCAGAGCTTCTGCATGGCAAAGGATATAGCTAGCAAGATCAATAGAAAACCCACAGATTGGGAGAAGATCTTCACTAGCCATACAACAGACAAGGGTCTCATATCTAAAATATACTTAGAACTCAAAAATTAAATCCCCCAACAACAAATCCTCAAAGAAACAACCGCCCAATTAACAAGTGTGCTAAAGACTTAAAGAGAGACTTCTCTGAAGAGGAAATAACAATGGCCATTAGACACATGAAGAGATACTCCACTTCTCTAGCCATAAAAGAAATGCAAATCAAAAAAACATTGAGATTCCACCTCACCCCAGTCACAATGCCTATCATCAAGAAATCTAATAACAACAGATGCTGGAGGGGATGTGGCCAAAAGGGAACCCTACTGCATTGTTGGTGGGAGTGTAATTTGTTCAACCACTTTGGAAAGCAGTATGGAGGTTCTTCAAAAGACTCCACATAGAGCTCCCTTTTAACCCAGCAATCCCACTTTTGGGCATTTACCCAAATGATCACAAACAAGGCCACACTAAAGCTACCAGCACAACTATGTTTATTGCAGCATTGTTTACCATAGCTAAGATATGGAACCAACCCAGATGCCCCTCAGTAAATGAATGGATCAAGAAAATTTGTGTGTGTGTGTGTGTGTGTGTGTGTGTGTGTGTGTGTGTGTGTGTGTGTGTGTGTGTGTGTGTGTGTGTGAACTATGGAATTCTATGCCTCCATCAGAAAGAATGACACTGCCCCATTTGTTATGAAATGCAAGACTTGGAAAAAATTACATTAAGTGAAGTAAGCCAAGCCCAAAGAAACATAGGTCCCATGGTTTCTCTTATTTGCAATAACTAGTATACATCTAGGACAAGCAGAAAAGGTCAAAAGCTATGTACATATGACCATATAAGATGATGCTAGGCAAAATGAACCCCAAGATATGGACACAAGTAGTTTTATCTTTCTTGCTGTTGTTTTTAATGTACTTATAATGGACTAAGTTTTTGTTTCTCTTGTATGGTCTTTCCCCATGGCAGAATCACTGTTTTCACTGTATTTAATTCCAGTGCCATGCATCTTGTATATACATTTTTCTAATTTGGCAGGGGAAGGGAAATAATAAAAAGCTGAACAAAGGATACAGGTTGACCCAGTGTAACAATGAGATGTATAAGACACTATGTTGAAAACGAACTTTACAGCTTTGTGTGTGGTGAGGGGGAGTTGGAGAGGTGGGAAGCGAAGGGATGGTAGGGGAAAAACAAAGGAAGGGTAACAATGCTTGATAGGAAATGGACTCATTACCTTACTCATGTAACTGTAACCCCTCTCTGAAGTATCTTTACAATTAAAATATATATTAAGAAAATAAATGTACTCACTATCTTATTAGATAACTGTAACCCTTGTACATCACCTTGACAATAAAATTAAAATTAAGAAAAAGAAATACAGGCTAACAAAATGTCAAAAGAGTATAGTTAGCATAGCTTTTGTATTGTATCTCAGCTCTCACTGTACACAGGTATGATAAAAATATAGATTAAAAAATAAGTAAAGAATTCTGCCTGAGAACACATAGGTAATGAGTTGCAGTCAGTCTGGAGTGCATGCTTTTACAGATGTATCATTCTGGGGCTTTGTGACCTTTCTTACAGAAAGGTCACTGTAGCTCTTAGAAATGATGATTATACAGCCTGTATCAGCCTGGTTCAAAATGCAGGCATAAGAATGGGTGTGGCTTTGGGCTCATTATTAAGTGTTGTATACTTATGTTTCCTCTGGTGTGAGTGGAATAGTCAACCCATGCATTGTTGTTCACAGTTTAGATGCTTAGTGAAAGCCCAATGAATGGTGTTTCGTTGGAGCAATGAGTCAAAGGAAGATTTTCATGGTCTGCTATCCATGCTTTGGTTCAGTACAGGAAACTCTTATCACTGAAGCTTCCTTATCACTGATAACTCGTTCTAGGAGGGAGGAAATTAGGCCACGTCTGCCTGTTAAGAAGCTACAAGAAATGAGAAGGAAATGTGGCAAAAAAGGGTGATGAGGACAGGGGTATTGAAAGTACCTGCCTAGTGAGTATGAGACCTTGAGTTCAAACCCCAGTACTGAAAAAAAATATGTGACGAAATAGTCTGCACTCTATGAGCCTACCTGAACAAATCCAACCTAGCTCCAAGTGCCTTCCCAGGAGCTCAGACTGAACTATTTAATTCCCACCTGTCCTTGGGGTGTAAGGGTGTCTCTCTTCCCTTGCATCTTGTCACCTCACATCATTAGTGTTAGCTCTAGGGACTCTGCCTATGGGGACAGTACTCACTGAGGAGGAGAAAAGACTCCTAGACTTAATCTTCCTCCCCCACCACACACTGAACCTGGCATGACAGAAGCAGATGATAGTCAGGACTTGTTTGGTGATCTGAAAGGTAAGATTTGAAATGAGTTTGAAAGCAGGTCCTATTTAGAGAGTTATATCTATAAAGAGATGACTTAAATAAGTATGTTGTAGAATATTCAGTGTTAAGAATTTAAGAGTAACAGGCCTAAAAAGATTTTAGATCTAAGATCCAGCCTGTTTAATATTCAAATCCTCTTCTTCCTCTTACCTCCCCTTTGGTTTACTGTCTTTTTTACATTAGGTATATAATATAATATATAAAAGAATATGTATATATGTACATATACATTTTTATCTATTTTTATAAATCCTAATCTAAGCCTAACTACAAACCTAGCTTAAACCTAACCCACAATTTAATCCTAACCTTAGGTCCTGGCACTCAAACTAACCCTAACTCTAATCCTAATACTAACCGTAATCCTAATCCCAATCCTAACCCTGACCCTAGCTCTAACAGCTAGGTGGTCAATCTTAACCCTAGTGCTAGGCTAATACTAACCCAAACCCTAATGCTAACCCTAAAACTAACCCTAACATATACTCTAAACCTCTCTGTAAATTAAAAAAATAAATAAGGAGCTCAGATACATATAATTAAAATTTCAGATTATTACCAATGTTTTAATGATTTTTATTTGAAAAATGCTAAAAACAAAACAGAGGGGTTATAGTTACATAAGTCAGGCAAAGAGTTTCATAATAAACTATACTATAAACTTATGGGTGAGATGGGTTGGGAAAACTGGGAGAGAGGGAGGGAGAGGGTGACATTTTCCTAAAGGATATGTATTCTTTTCCTGACTTACGTATCATTTTTAGATTGCACTTGAGAACAATTAAAATATGCCATGGATTGTGGCATAAAATCTAACCAAGTCATCTGTATATTCCTTGCATGCATTTATCTAGCTGTTTACCTTTTTCAGAGGAACTTTGCTTATTACCACAGTAATGTGGAGTCTGCATTCTCTTACCGAAGTCTTCTAGTCTTCACATCAGCAGCTTCCACAAGGCACATTTACACATGAAGTTCTGAGTTTGATGTCAGAAGAGTTAAAATTTCAACTCTGTTAATAATTCACAACTGATCGTGTTGTTCATTTATAAACATACCCTACATCTTCTAAGATGTATTTCCAAGTCATTGGCTGAGCTTTACGTTTTCACTCTCTATACAGGGGAGCATGTATCTGATCCTAAGGCTGCTTGATGCTCAGGGCATGAAGATTTTGTTTGCAGTGTGCTTTAACAGTCTTGGACAAACCAGCTCAAGGACTTCTTCACTGCAGGAATTCTTTTCTTTTTGGTCGGTCGTAGGGCTTGAACTCGGGGCCTGGGTGCTATCTCTCAGCTCTTCAGCTCAAGGCAAGAGCTCTACCACTTGAGCCACAGTGCCACTTCTGGTTTTCTGAGTGGTTTATTGGAGATAAGAGTCACACAGAGTTTCCTGCCTGGGATGGCTTTGAACCTTGATCCTCAGACCTCAGCCTCCTGAGTAGCTAGGATTACAGGTGTGAGCCACCGATGCCTGGCAAAACTCTTTTCAGTTACTCTGCTTTGACAAATGAGACCCTTGCTTGGCACCTTGCATTCACATTATATCAAGATGTCCAATGGATGTGTGCACCCTCTAATGAGGCTGTAAGGTTTTCTAGTGGTAGAGATTGTTCATAAGTATATCATTTTAAATGATGTCTGACATGTATTTGGTTAGTAATATTTACACAAATGAGCTCAGCAGAAAGAAGACTTTCTACAACATTACTCTTAGGTACAAAACTCATTCTTTAGACTTGATTTAAAAAAAGCCTTTGAGGGGGAAGGAAGTGGGGGAGGGGAAGGAAAGTGGGAGAAAATGGGAGGGGGTGACAATGTTGGACAATAAATGTATTTGTTAACCTTACTTATGTATCTGTAACCCCTCTGTACATCACCTTCATAATAAAATTAAGTGTGAAAAAGAAAAGAAAAGGCAGATGACTTATGACTTAGAAAGGGGATAAAACGTTTGGAGAGAGTTTCATAGGCACAGACAGAACAGAGTTAAATTGCACAAATTCAAATTGTGTTTCCATAACATAGTGTCTAGATGAAATGGACACGTGCCATCATCTCTCCATTCTCTATGTTCCTGAGTTTGATCTTTTTTCCAGATGAAAGTAGTAATCATCTTATTGGATGTATTTAGATCAGGGGAAATAACTACTGTTGTTTTTAGAGCAGCATAAAAAGTAGCTGCAATAGAAATAGTAATGAGCTGCTAGTTTTTAGTTTTATGAAAAAGAGAGAGGGGAAGGGAAAGGGAGGGAGAGAAAAAGTTCTGATTTAGGTTCAATAGCTTCCTTACTCAAGCTCTCCCCACTTTTTCTTGACTATGCCAGCCTTCCATGGAGCCCCACAACCACTCCAGCCTGACTGATTTTGTGCTCCTTGGCTTCCCCAGCGTGGGACATGTCAGGGGCTGGCTTTTTGTCCTGCTGCTGCTGGCTTACCTGTTCACCATAGGTGGCAACACACTCATCTTCTTGGTCATTCGACTGGACCCAGCACTTCACAAACCCATGTACCACTTTGTCAGCGTTCTCTCCTTCTTGGAGCTGTGGTACACCGCCACCACCATCCCCAAGATGTTAGCAAATCTGCTCAGTGAGAAGAAAACCATTTCTTTTGCAGGTTGCCTGCTGCAGACCTACTTCTTCCATTCCCTGGGGGCCTCTGAATGTTACCTTCTTACAGCCATGGCCTATGACCGATACTTGGCTATTTGTCGGCCTCTCCACTACCCTGCAATCATGACCTCAACGCTCTGTGCCAAGATGGCCGCTGGCTGTTGGACCTGTGGCTTTCTGTGTCCCATTTCTGAGGTGATCCTGGTCTCTCAGCTCCCCTTCTGCGACTACAATGAAATCCAACATATCTTCTGTGACTTTCCACCTCTTTTGAGCCTGGCGTGCAAGGACACATCTACGAACGTTTTGGTGGACTTCACTGTCAATGCCTTCATCATCCTTGTCACCTTCCTCTTCATCATGGTTTCTTATGGGAGAATCATCGGGGCAGTGCTGAAGATCAAAACCGCGGCAGGAAGAAAGAAGGCTTTTTCTACCTGCGCCTCCCATCTCACAGTGGTGCTCATCTTCTTTGGGAGCATCATCTTCATGTACGTTCGGCTAAAGAAGAGCTACTCCCTGACCCTGGACCGGACACTTGCTGTAGTCTACTCAGTGCTAACACCACTGGCCAATCCCATTATCTACAGTCTTCGAAACAAGGAACTCATTAAGGCCATTAAGCGGACCATCTTCAGGAAGGGGGAGAAGGCTTGCCCCACTCACCACTGACTTACTACTGAGGACCTTCGTTGTTTTCACCTTGTAAAAGCTCTACATGCCTTTGGCCAGACCTTGAATAATCTTCCCATTGTAACAGGTGCTCTGGATCACCCCTCTCCCACCTTGGCAGACTTGTTTATTTCCCTAATTTTTTATTTCTTGCATCTTTAGCCTTTCTATCAATGCTGGCAACATTTAAGAACATCTTTATATTCCTCTTCTTTTTGTTGTTGTTGTTTGTTTGTTTGTTTGTTTTTAGAGGATGTACATTTCTATTCGTTTACCAGTAAATTTCTTTGCTTTTTTTCTAATAAACTTCCCCACATAGCCAGCCTATCTTTTCAGCCCATTGCAATATGGATTTTGCCAGAGCCTGCTGGCAACAAAAGGGAATCTTGAATTAGGCGGCGAGGACGGAAAAATAAAGACATAAGACAAAGGATGGGGTCGGGAGGTCTGCAGCTCAAGACTGCAGCACCGTTTATTTTTAACTTTCCCTACTATATACTATTAGAAGTCAAGAGGTAACATAAGGTTACAATACTCCAGAAAAACAAGGAAAATTTCAGTAAAAACAGAGTGCAGTAAAAACAAGACAAGGTCAACTGGTAGAAAGTAAAACAAACTGTGCAGACATAGCAAAGCAATCCCGGGCACCTGGTGTTTTTTAAGTAAGCCAGCTCCTTGTACATGCCTTCAAGTGAGCACAGGGGTCTAGATGACCTTAGAGCTTTACTGTCGGCTCCCAACAGGATTTGTCTCAGAACTTTGAATATTTTAATATTTTTCCCAAGATTTGCAATGACCTCCATGATGCCAAATGCATTGTATCTTTCTTTTTTAGAACAGAAGGGAGATTTCATTGTGACATTTCCACATGTGTATGCAAAGTATGTCAATCAAACTCACCCCTCTGTTACTTTCCTTTACCCTTCCTAAAACAATTTCAATAGGTTTTATCTATTTTGATACATGATAATAAAATGCTTTTACCATAAGAATCTCATTTACCTTCTCAGTCTGCTTTTCCCCGCACACTGGTATCATTCCCCCAACAGAGTTTGTTTTCCTTTCCCCATCAATCTTCTTTTCTTTTAGTGTATATTAATTGCACTCATTGTTTTACCATATTTTACACATGTATACATCTTTCTATCTCTGTCTCTGACCGATAAAAAGAGCCATCATAGATATCTCTATCAATAAACAGAGATCGGGATTTTCTTTCACCTGTTCTCAATCTCCTGTTGGTAAACTTTTTTTTTGGTCGGTCTTGGGGCTTGAACTCTGGGCTTGGTCACTGTCCATGCACTCTTCAGCTCAAGGCTAGTGCTCTACCGCTTGAACCACAGCACCACTTCCAGTTTTTGAGTGGTTTGTTAGGGATAAGAGTCTCATGGAGTCTCCTGCCTGGGCTGGCTTTGAACCATGATCCTCAGTTCTCAGCCTCCTGAATAGCTAGGATTACAGGTGTGAGCCACCAGTGCCCAGCGGTAAACTTCTTTCATTGAGATTTTTTTGTGCCACTTTCATACACAATTGAAATGTATTTGTCATCCTTTCTTGAAATCTTAACAGATGTGACCACTCCTTAGTTCTTAAAGATGTGTTTCTTAACTTCCATGCTTCCATTGCCTACCTATGCTCATCTCTCTGGTAAGTTTGTCTCCGTATCCGTTGCTTGTAGCACAATCTTCCTACACACTCCAAGTTATTCTTATGGCTTCAAAGTCCCTCCGTGTCATTGCCAAAAGCTCATACATTTTCTATCTCATAACACTCCACTCTTTGAGCCATAGAGTTGCATATTCAAGAGGTTAATAACAACTATATCTAGATAGCTCCCAAGAATTTCTTAGTGTCAAAAATGAAATCTTCAAATTTCAACTTCAAATAAGATGTTTTTGCATCTGTTTATGGCACATGAGTTAAGTTATTCAATTCTGCTTCCTTATCTGCCCTTAATTCCAATCCACTAATAATGTATCAGTCCTTCCTCAAAGTATGGATATACTTTGTCTGCTTCTTACTCTCTTTAGTGTTGCCACTCTTGTATAAATTACCAGCATCTATCAGGTCAATAAATGCATGATACTGTACCCAGTCTTCTTGTTCCTCTAGTTCCATATATATTTCCATACAGAATCCAGTGTTTTAAGCCTAAATTAGGTAACTTGTTCATAGAACCAAGAAACACTTCTAATTATACATATATCCAGTGTGTAACCATACTTTATAAGGGAAACAAAATGTATTCCTTCCTTTGTTTCTAACATTCACTCCACATCTCATATTCCCCTAGCCACATCAATGGTCTGAGCTCTTCAAACACATTAAAATTTTTCTTGGCTTTAGGTTATACCCAGCCTATCTTTATTTTCTTTTTTTAAATGGTGTCTAGCTTGCTTCTTTTTTTGGGGCCATGGAGTTTGAACTCTGGGCCTGTGCATTGTCCCTCAGCAGTTCAGCTCAAGGCAATTGCTCTACAATTGAGCCACAGTGTCACTTCCAGTTTTTCTGTGTTTATTGGAGATAAGAGTCTCACGAACTTTCCTGCCCCAGCTGGCTTTGAACCACGATCCTCAGATCTCAGCCTCCTGAGTAGCTAGGATTACAGGCATGAGCCACTGGCACCCGGCTAGCTTGCTTTTAAAATATGTATAACTATTTATTTATTTATTATTTATTTATTTTGGGGGGGGCCCGGTCGTGGGGTCTGAACTCTGGGACTGGGCGCTGTCCTTCAGCTCTTCAGCTCAAGGCTAGCGCTCTACCACTTGAGCTATAGCGCCACATCCGGCTTTTTTCTTTTTGCTTATGTGGTGCTGAGGAATTGAACCCAGGGCCTCAGGCATGCAAGGCAAGCGCTCTACCACTGAACCACCTTCCCAGCCCCTGTATAACTATTTTTGTATATGAGCACTTTTGGGTATATGTGGTTATAAATCAAGCTAAACAGTCCTTCCTACAAATCAATAAGTTAGATTTGGTCTGAAATCATTTCAGTTTGTTAGTTGCAGGGTGTTCAGAATTTAGCACTATCTAAACAGAGTAAGTATTTAAATGATTAGGCAAGGAAGGAAAATGTAATGAATCTTACTCTCCACCATCAATAACATTCTTGGTCTCATCCTGATCTCATCCTGACTTTAATCATGACTAGAATTAGAGTGCTAACTTGGATACACTCACTTCTCTCGTCTATACTACCAGCCTCATTATGACTCATGTCTGCCTTTTGTGTCTCTTTGGTCACAGTATGGCAATATACTCCTGGATCTTTATCTCTTTATTTAAACTTGTAGTGAGTTGCTCAGTTGTCTAAGTGATGTCCACTTCTAACATTATGAGGTTATTAGCTTCTATTTCACTATTTATTTTCATGGATTTCGTTTGTATTTCCTTGAATTTGAAGCCAAGCAATTTGTCATGAAAATGAGATTGGTATGGGGGCAGGTATGGTGATTCTGATTTTTGCAAAATCTTTGAAAATCCCAGAACTATCTGTTAAACTTTTTAGATATTCAAATATTTTTTAAAAATACAAGACATTTCCTAGACAAATTAATAGAATGTTTGCAGCTATTTTTCTTGTGTATTGCTTATATATACTTGGAGTTATAAAGTTACAATGTTACACAATACACTTTTACATCTCCATGGAATAAGAAGACACAAGTCATAATGCTTATTTGTGGATGAACATGCACCAGCATTGCTTATCTGCATGTCAGTTTCTCTACATTATTTCTCCATAGTATTATGGTTCATTACTTATCCCTATGGTATCTAGAGGCATATGGAGAGCAAAAGTTTCCACAAACTCAGTCACATCTTAAAGCAGAAATTTTAGGGTAAGATTAACAAGTAAATAATTTAAAGGAAAATATCAAACAAAGGCACAGAGACAAGAAAATATAGACAAGTCAGGAAGCACAGAAAGCTGTGATTAACATATTTATAGACATAAACACACATCATAAATTATAAATTGTATTACAAATATTGACATGTGTTTATAAACATTATTTATATAGATGAATATTCTCCATTTTAGTATTTCTATCTTTTTCATATGATATTATATCACCACAGTTGTAATCAAGATCAAGAACAACTTCTTTTGGCTCTCCTAAATTCCTCAGGTCATGCTCATCCTTTGCAGTCAATTTCTTTTTTTGGGGGGGGGGAGGGAGTCCAGTCATGGGGCCTGAACTCTGGGCCTGGGCGCTGTCCCTCAGCTCTTCAGCTCAAGGCTAGAGCTCTACCACTTGAGCCACAGCACCACTTCCGGCTTTTTTCTTTTTGCTTATGTGGTGCTGAGGAATCGAACCCAGGGCCTCAGGCATGCAAGGCAAGTGCCCTACCACTGAGCCACCTTCCCAGCCCCCTTTGCAGTCAATTTCCCACTTCTAGCCCCCACCACCCAATGATCCACTATAGCTCTATGTCTGTCTTTCTTGGAATATCATATAAATACAATCAGAACAATATAATCATATATGACTTTCCCCCTAGCACTGTGCATTTGTTGATCCATTTTTGTGGTTGCTTTGGGAAGCAGTTTAACAATTCCCAAAATGTACAAACATGTAGTAATCCTATGACTGACCTACGATTCTAATCCTGGATAAATCTACCTAAGAGAATTAGAAACAGATGTCTTTACAAAAACTTACACATGAGAAAATAATTTGTACAATCCAAATGTCTATCAAATGATGAGAGGATACATAAAAGTGTTGTATGTTTGAACAATTAAACATTAGTTTGCATTAAGAGAAATAATTTAATAAAGATATTAATATTGGTTATATTAAAATCTATTTGTAATATGGACAAATTTTGAATATGTCCTAAGTGAACAAAATCAATCATGAAAGAGCACATGTTGTCTGCTTCCATTGATAAGAAGCAGGCAGAATAGACAAATGCCTATGGGTAGAAATTGAGGAAGGATGGAATAATAAAAATAGTCTAAAATCAGATTGTAATAATAGCTGCATAAT